GAAAGAGAATAAAGGCTCAAGGGAATGACGAGTTGACACAGCACAAGAATCAAGTTTTGTATCTCCACCCTTCTGAGAAGACAGACCATTTAGATATGTTCAGTCTGTGGAATAAAACTCAAGTCTCATCATAGCAGTAAAGATCAAAGACATGGATTTGCAAGATAACTACTCAGTTTGCATCACTGCCATTAAGAATGTAACGTGCAAAAGTGGAAGTTACCCAAGTAGTTTCTTCAAGGAACAGGAATATAAATAAATAGATCAGTAACATGCTCACTAATGCTTTCTTTAGCTTGAATTACGATATGTTTAATATCAAACTATCTATAAGCAAAATCTGCATAAAAATAAAAGTTATTAGAAGATGCTTTGTCCAAATCATCACCTACGTTTCGTCTTGAGCAACAGTATTTTCTGCATTCCTTTGCTGGCTGAAAAGATTACTGCAGTGTTGCTATTTGCTCCAATCTGCTATCCTAAAATGACATTTTGGCACATAGCCAGTTTTAACTACCTCCGTTTAAGAAAAGCTCAAAATAATACAGCTGCTCTCAACATTTAATATGTATTTGATTCATAGCACATTGTTAGTCAGCCCAAAGACTTGTCACTGAACTTAATTTTAATAGCATACATCAAAGCAAAAAAAAAAAAAGACAAAGAAATAGTTGCCTCTTTCTTGACTAATCAATAAAGCTAAAAAGAAATAAAAATCCCTGAATTGCCATGGGAAAATTAATATGCAGTATGCCCTTTCAAAGAGATATGTAGTTTTGCACCTGGATGTTTTCTTCTTTTGCATTTTATAGAGAATAATGAGGGGAAAAAAAAAAAGAAAAGAAAAAACCCTCACAGCATGATTCATCATTATTTGCATGAAACTACAGCAAAATCAAGATATTAAAATCCATTTACCATACTTTTTTTTTTTAATTTGAATACTTTTCATAAGTCTTTTTATAATATGCTTCTGCCCTGTGTTGGAGACATGATATTGAGCTCAACAGGTATTTGATTTGACTTCATGTAACTATTATTCTCTTCTTAAGGCACACCAAGATAGCAAATAAGGATAAATATGGAAAGGTCAAAAAGAAGCCAGAGGAGGAGACCAGGGACAGATAAAGAGCCAGCTCAGCATAAATGTATTTTCCCTGTGAATAATGCTGGAAGTGGTAATAAGATACTGAAACATAATTCAACTACCAGCTAAAGTTTAGTTACCACACTAAAATTTCATTCTATCTGCAAATTCTAGGTAAATACACTATTGAAGGAAAATCACCTGCAGATAAAAAGACACACAACACTTTTAAATGTGTACATTACATAGCTCATATTAAGATTTACACAGTTGCAACTGTCTAAGTACAGACTTTCTATGCAAAAATAGAAACTAGCTCTTTCTCTCTCACTACAGATATTTCTAACAACTGGAGAAGCCATGATTAAGAAGGGAAAACCCAAAACATTTTAAGACCTCTGAATAAAAAAATGTGACAACTGGTATGACAGTACTTCAGTTTATCGACTTCTTAGAGAAGTCCATTTCAAGCTCCAGATAAACCTGATATCGCAACAAAGGAAGAAAACTAATTAGCCAGTTTGTCACAATATATCCCTGTTCTTCCACAGATATAGGAGAAACAATACATGATTTTCAAACCTGTAGTTCTGACAGATCTGCCCTTTTAACCATTCTTCTTCATCTGACATATTGGTAAAACTATAGAACATTTTATGGATTCTTGAATTAGCAGTCCTTTAAAGTTAATATACAAGGGGAAAGCTCTGTTGACTCTGATTTTTTTCCTCATTTCATGTAAGGAAAAAAGTCTAAACTTCCTTTGATTCCTTCATCAACTTAGGCCTATGGACTGGTGACAACAGGGACTTATTATTACAAATTTGAAGTTTTTTATAGCATAGTGTTTATACATCAGTGACTCTTGTTGTTCTTTGAAAAAAAAACAAGCAGTTTCCACAAACTACAAGGATGCTCAGTACAATGAATAATTGCTCAGCACTTTGTTTTCTACATAATAATCATTTTCTTATAGGTAACTAAATATTTTAAGCAGTTTATTAATTTATAAGCTTAGTTGTGGACATTTCTGTGTTTTTAGCATCAGGACACAGACTGCCTGAAGTGTTGATACTCTGTGTCCTCGAACAGTTTCTAAGTGTCCTCATAATTGCTTGTCACCTGTAAAAGAGGTTTAGATCCAACGCAAAATTAACATATGGTGAACAGATGGACCAGAACAGACGTTTGTCGAGAAAGTACTCACACCAAAGACTTTTTGGCTTCAGCCCTTTAGGACCTTCAGAAAAGTCCTACTTGAAGCTCCAAGTCATACTAATCAGGGGAACATCATTCCTCAATGACAATCTCATGTCGCAAAAACTTTTATGACCTGCTACAAAGAAGCATCCTTGCAACTCTTCTGTTGTCACAATGACTCCATGAACGGAAGAACTCAAATACTGTTTCCATAGGATACCCCATAAAACTTTTATGACCTGCTACAAAGAAGCATCTTTGCAACTCTTCTGTTGTCACAATGAGTCCATGAACGGAAGAAGTCAAATACTGTTTCCATAGGATACCCCACCCACCCAACAAGAACAATTCATCTTGTATGAAACAAAAATGCAAGCACAAAGTCGCTATTAGGGTGATTTAAAAAAATAATAATTCCCATTAAAAGTTGTTGGTTTTTTTTTTAAAAGAATCCCCCCCACCATGTAAGCTCTTCAAAATATTCCATTACTTACTGAGGAGGTAAGACAAGAGTTGTTGGCTGGGCTTTTGGTCTGCGCTTTGCAGATACTCCCATCTGGTTGGCTGAACGTTTCAAAGACTGCTGATTCAAAAGGCCAGATGCTAGCCCGGCATGGTACTGCAACTGGATAATAAAAGACATATATATTAAAACACACACCACTGCAGTACTCTGTCTATGTCAGACCTCTACTATCTGTACCATCTGATTCAAATTACAGTCAGTCTGTAAGTTAATGTATGGTATTTCATATATATTGCTTGGATGGAAGACGATATGAACAAAAGCATATAAAAAAAGTCTGATGTGAAATAGGTATAACAAGGAAATCATGCTATAGGGCAAGTAAGATGATGAATCAAAGTCTTCCTCTCAAGTCCTAACTCTCCTGAAACTTGGGCTTGCTTTTAAACATTAAGACTGTTTCTCCTCTCAAGGGATCAAGCATTCTTACCTTTTGGAAGCAGATAAGAGGAAGAGAGATGCAACTTTTACACTGTATAAACCAGCTTTTTAGAAATAACACTCATCTTTTTTTCTTTAACATAAAACCACAAAACATTCACAAAGAAGTTTCTACCACTGTAAAGAAAAATACAGCCTTCAAAATACCTGCTAGCATGTCTCCATAGCATTGCAACAGAAAGATCCACACTCAGTAGCTTTCTCCTCTAACCTTTTATTTTACTTGCCAACGAAAGACAAATTTGAAGGACACAACATGAATCTGCAAGATTTTGAGTGCATTCCCACTGCTCACAGATTTAAGAACAGCTACAGTGCTGTGTCAGTCCTGAAACCAGCTCCAAGTGCAACAAGTTAAAAGCTCACCTCTGAATATGTTCAATTTATATTCTTAATTTCTCATTTTCGAAGAGAAGGTGGTGGGGAAAAAAAGCTCAAGATTCAGTGTCAGACAAACGCAATTTCCCTCATAGTTCTTGTCCCGCATCAATGTGCTCAATATTTGTTCTGAAAAAAGGTGAACTGTTAACAACTCTAATGCTATGATCTGTGTATAAAAAAAAGTTACAGTTGGAAGACCATGACTTACAAATATTCAGAAAATAAAGTGGTCTTAGGTAAAGCTATTCCACAAGGTACAGGGTGAAAATGAGGGAAACAAAGCTGGCTCAAGTGATCTACTTGAAAACAGCTATTAAAATGAGTGAAGCTATCCCGTGAGCCAGTCCGACTCCAACATCAATGCTCAGAGCATCCATAAGGCTTTTTAACAGGCTCCTGATTCACTTGGCTGCTTTGTCACGAGATCTCGGCCGTGGCACAACACGAAGACACATCACATTCCTAACGGGAAGAGAACCGCGCTCTGCCGGGGATGGGGGGACTGCATTGCCCCAACAGCTCTGCTCAGACCCACGAATCCTGCTCAAATTTGTTTTTCTCTGACAGATTTCTAAAATGAGAAAAATCAATGAGAGCAAGGGACAGCACATGTTTGAAAGGCAATGTTTCAAAGTGTCAGGGGCTTACTTTTCAATCTTCACTACCAGAACGTGCAGTCAGTGCAATACACTGGGAATTAAAGGAAAGGACTGCTCTGGCAGAAGACCCCTCTGACTCCAGGAGCAGGCTTTTCCCTTTTCTTCTTGCATCTTATTAGGAGCAGCCCTCCTTCAGCCATTTTGTGCTGTTGACACCCTTCACTTACATCCACTGTGCAGAACGACACTGCCAGGTATTTCAGGTAAATAACATCAGTTGGACACTGGTTCAGAGACGACGGTAATCACAGGTGCTAATCAGAGATGAATATTAAATGCAACCTTTTAAAAACATTTCATAACCTCCCAGCTAGTCTGACATTTAGTGGTCAGGCAAAAAAAAAAAAAGAATTAAAAATAAATAAATTCTAAAAACCAGTTGTCCTTGAAGGCTGACTCCCAGTGATTAAGCTATTTTTACTAATTATAAGTATTTCTTTACAATCTACCTTTGCTCCCAGGAATGCAGATCCAACTGTCAAAATCTATAAGGGCCATTAAATATTTACCAAACCATCCTTATAATGGGAGAAAAGGTCAAAGTTAATAAACTGACAGGCAGCTTCTGTCCAACTTGATTTATATATTATTAAAGTATCACATACTGTATTGCACAGAATGCATTCCTTTTTGGGGCGGAGGGGTGTTAACTGAAGAGACTGGGAAATTGTTTCTTAATCATTTGTTTTGAGGAACAGAAACAAGACTGAAATAGTGCCAAAGCAGCACCACCAGCATGAAAACCGCAGCTGGGAGATTCAGCGGTCCTGATGGATAATAAGTGTGCCATTCAGTTTTTTTTTCCTCTTGCAAAATAACCACCTTTGTCTGTCAGCATCAGCCATGACAGCAAATTTCAGCTCAAAACGTATCAATTCCCTCAAAATTTTTGTTTACCAACAAGAGAATGCCATTTCCTAACATATTATCTTCTCCTTAGGGAAGTCACATCAAATACACTGTCAGAGGATATTATGGGTGCGAAAAGGCTCACGCAGGGAAGCTGACATGAGCTCACAGGACACAAACCCTCTGAGGGTTAATAAACACACAGAAACCGCATTTAGCTCAAGAAGTCCCTGAGCCAGAGACTGCTGATGCCTGGAAAAACATTGGGGAGAACATCACATACAGACGTGTGCTTGCAGCTACTGCTGGAGATGAGAGATGGTGCAACACGAGCCTTCGGTGTGAGCCAGCAGAGCTGCTGGGTGTTTCAGTGTCTGCAGAGGGTGGTCCACGCAGGTCTAGGAGACCCTGCGACCCAACGCAGCCAAAGTTGGGCACTTGTGGATGGTCACAAGTGCCTTCTGTAAGTGTATTCCCAACGACTTTCCCTCCGCTTTTGACTACCGTGCTCATTCAAACCAGCAGAACGGTAAAGAGCAACAGCTTTATCCACAAAGCATGTTAAATACTCACTGAACTCGAGTATTGTGCAGCACCAGGTACACAAACTGTGTGCAGCACCAGGTACACAAACTGTGTGCAGCACCAGGTACACAAGACTACTGCAAATCGCTTCTTGATCAGTCGCTAAGCAACTCCCTGTCCAGGTACTACTGCAAATCGCTTCTTGATCAGTCGCTAAGCAATTCCCCGTTGTTCAGAGGCTTTATTACAGCAAGCAGCCATGTCATAGAATCATAGAATCACAGAATGGTTTGAGTTGGAAGGGACCTCAAAGATCATTTAGTTCCAACCCCCCCGCCATGGGCAGGGACACCCTCCACTACACCAGGTTGCTCAAAGCCTCATCCAACCTGGCCTTGAACACTTCCAGGGATGGGGCATCTACAACTTCTCTGGGCAACCTGTGCCAGTGCCTCACCACCCTCAGAAGGAAAAATTTCTTCCTTATATCCAATCTGAATCTCCCCTCTTTCAGTTTAAATCCATTACCCCTTGTCCTATCACTACATGCCCTTGTAAAAAGTCCCTCTCCAGCTTTCCTGTAGGCTCCCTTTAGGTACTGGAAGGCTGCAATAAGATCCCCCCGGAGCCTTCTCTTCTCCAGGCTGAACAGCCCCAACTCTCAGCCTGTCTCCATAGCAGAGGTGCTCCAGCCCTCGGATCATCTTCGTGGCCTCCTCTGGACCCGCTCCAGCAGCTCCATGTCCTTCTTGTGTTGGGGACTCCAGAGCTGAACACAGTATTCCAGGTGAGGTCTCACGAGAGCTGAGTAGAGGAGCAGAATCCCCTCCCTTGACCTGCTGCCTACACTATGGCCATGTCTTTCAGCTTTGGGGAATTCCAACTGGTTTATGTGAAGCTAAGCTCTTTACTTTCTAATGAAATATTCCTCTGTAAAATTTCAACAAGATTGATCTTTTTTCCCCCAATATATGCAAATAAAACACAAAATCTATTTCAAAAAACTAAGGGAAAACAACAACAACAACAACAAAATTATCACACTTAGCAGCTAGGATATACACCAGTGCCAACTCTACGTAAAACTTGTACAGTTTTATGATGAGTCTCATGATAGCTGATATTTTTCTTAAAACTGTGGTTTCAAGTAGATGTGTAAATTCCACATTTTAAAATCAAAAGAGACTCTAGCTCTCAAGGACGTAGGAAAAGTACTGAAAACACTTCAGTTACATACAAAAGCTTTACCTGAAGGTAAATAAAAACAGAACTTGCATTATTTTTAAATTTCATTATTTTTGAGATTCATTATTTTTCTATGTTAATGGCAACATGGCCTGTATTTTCTAGAAGAAATATATTTTCTAGAAGAAAATATTATCACTAATGTTTAACAAGTGCCATAATTCACATTTTCAGTGTTCCTGAGTATATGAAAACTACAATCACATATTAACGGCTCTCAATCTTCCTCACCAAGTGAAATACACGTAACAGAGACAGCACTTCAGAGTCACTTTTCTCACAGTTGAAATTGTAAGGAGGGCAATTTCTTCATTCGCATAAGATGTCTATGGCTTTCACATGAACTATTTAAACAGAGAACTTGTATTAGAGAAATACAGACTGGATTTAGTTCCGAAAGCATTAATATTTTTTAAAAGTTAACCACATAGTATCTTTTATTTATTCTACCTTGGTGACTCTCTTATCAGAAACAAGGCAACACACTCCCTGAAACAATCAAAACAAACAAAAAAAGAACCTCTCCATCCCCTCTGAGAGATCACACTATCTTCTGCCAAGGATTTTTAACGTTGGGAGTAGACAGAGAACTTCTGCTACAGCCAAAGGGCTCGAACAGAACAATGCAGCAAGGCCCCTTCGTTCCGCAGGAAAGCACCGACCGTATCGCGACAGATTATATTTTGGTCTGTAGGATTACTCTACAGAGTATGCTATGAAACTACAAACATGTATGCAGTGCTAATTTAAAACTTTTAAAATTAAAGCTTTATCATTAGAATCATGCTGGGTCTAAAGGTCTTTCGTTTACATAATTCATGGGCTGGAGATTTTGCATGTGCTGACTGCTGACCAAACAAGTCATTACACTCCACTTGCTTACAGGGCCATTTAAAGTTGAAAAAATAGGTTGGGTAGGAAGAAGGCAAAAAAAAAAAAAAAAAAAAAAAGAGAAAGCCAATCACTTGGAGCATTTACAATTGATCATGTCAACTCACA